AAACTTGGGGTGCTTCTTGGGGCCCAACCCAAGTGTTGTAGTCTAGAGCTTATATACACAAAAAAAACTCTCATAAAGTTTCAATGTGGAACAACCCATTTTAAGAAAACCCACATTTAAATCTTTAAATATCCATTCCACGAACCCGAAAACGACGTCAACTTCCCATTCACTCATAAATGGTTTTGACGAACCGTTTTCACCGTGTGACTTGCCACGCGGCAAAGAACGCGTCACCTCTTCGGACTCACCCCAAAAGACGTTTGGGGCCCACTCTATTTTAGGCTCAAAGATGGCCCAAAATAAGCCTATATTACACCATTTTTCCAACAAGCTATTGTTCGATCTTAAAAAATGTAGTGATAAATTTAAAAGCATAGGAAGAAGATTTCCCTGTAATCGAGGATAAGTGACATGAAAAATAGCAAAAGGAAGAAGAAAAAAAAAAAACTATATGTTATATAGTACCAGAGTTCATGAATTTAATATGCAGCCAAATTAGGCCTAGCTGAAGTTCAGTTAACAATTTTTTTATCTTGTTTTTTATCTTATCAACTTGTTTTGAAGCAGTTTGACTATATCAAATTAAGAATCAATCTGTGTTCTTTGATTACTTCATTGAACTCAGAAATTAGAGGTGAGAAGCACATGACTCCATCATAAATGTTGAAAGTAAACTTATCATATTTTATGCTTTACTCATAATACAATTCATAAAAAAGTTTCGACACATGCAAATGAAAGTGAATCAAATACCACCAAGCAATAAAAAACAATCAGTGATCTGTTCAGAACTTCTATCCAAAAACTAAAGTCAACATCTAAAACTAGACATCTTTCGTATATATAATATACCGAGATATGTATAAATTGTCTCACATCTATAATTGTTAATCAGAAATGGGATTACTAGAAAAAGCAAGAAAATTTCACAAGCTAGCATGAAGAAAGTTCATTGTCACAAAAGCTACTTCTATAGAAAATAAAATTATATTAAAAACAGAAATTTCAAATTCAAAACTGTTTGTGATTCCTTTCCTATAATATCATGTCCTCACAATTCCTTAGAACCTAATACAAGGTTACAAACCATGAAACCATTTGGGAAATAAGCAGCCACATATACAGCAATCAGAAACATCATATATCCAATATAGACCAAAAAATCAATGGAAATAAAAAAAAAATTAAAAAAAAAAGGGGAAGAAAACATAAACTTGTGAAAAGGGCATTAAAAACACAAAAATACTAAATTCTAAAAAATTATTTTAAAAAAAAATATTTCTATCATAATTACCAATCTAGCTTTTGAAATTTTCTACTCAACTAAACATGGGACAAAAATGAAAGTACTGCTATTAGGGGTTGTTTGGAGTGTCTTAAATAAATGTACTTTTTGTCTTTTTGAATTAAAAAAATTGAGAAAAAAAAATATGGATATTTAGATTAACTTTTTGTCTTTTTACGAAAAAATATATAATAAAAAATTGTATAAATAAAGTGTATAGTGAAAGAAAGTTGAGTGGTTGTACGGCTGCCCTGCTGCCCCATCATGTCTTACCTAGAAAATAATTGCTTCCTTTGGGACAAAGTGTTTGGAGAGTGATGGTCGGTCCGTAGGGGCCACTATGGGTCCCATTTTAATAATCTGAACCGTTCAATATGTACAACTCGTCGAGTATTATATGCTTGTAAGAAATCACGTTGATCGAATATCTATAACTATATGGTCAGATTAGTTTATTTCAACAGTTAACTATCACACCATCCGTTTTGTTTATACAAAACTGATTTGATCATATAGTTAACGATATCCGACCAACGTGATTTTTTACAGCCATATATTACTCGACGAGTTCTACATATTAAACGGTTTGGATTATCAAAACGGAACCCTTAGTGGGTCCAACATTACCATCAAACTTTGTAACTTTACATATGTATTTTTTTTTTTACCCAAAAAGTATATAATGGTCTTCTTGTTTCACAAGTAGGGCTGACAGCATCCATCAAACTTTTGTATTATATAAAATTTTCTTTAATATTTTTTATTTGTGAATAGTAATGATTTTTTTATTTTTTGTGTAATTTTTTGACTTTTTAAATTATTTTGGACTTATCAAACCAGTCCTAAAGATTAGGGTTGATTCCTCTCAACTTCATAGCAAACATTCACAAAAAAAATATAATAATAATAAGGGTATGGCTTCTGTCCAGTTCGGGATCGAACTGGACCATGCTGTTGGGCCCGTGGGGGCCCACCACAGATCCCGTTTTGATAATCTGAACCGTTGAATGTGTAGAAATCGTTGAGTACTATATGCTTGTAAAAAATCACGTTGATCGGATATCGATAGCTATGTGATCAAAACAGTTTTTTGTCAACCGTTAATTTGTTCACTGTTCCATTTTTTTAATACGAAACTGATTTGATCATATAACTATCGATATCCGATCAACGTGATTTTTTACAGGCATATAGTACTCAACGAGTTCTACACATTAAACGGTTCAAATTATCAAAACGGAACCCGTGGTAAGTCCCCACGGACCCAACAGCACAGTCCAGTCCGAGATCAAAGTGGACAGAAGCCATACCCTAATAATAATAATAATAATAATAACACTCACTGGATTGAAATACAGGCCATAGATAGATTGATAGATCGATAGATAGAGAAGAAGATCGTACAATTACACAGAGAGAGAATGAGGCGTTGGTATTGTTTGTCGTTATGATGATTGGAAATCACTGCCTAAACACAACAATGTCGTTTAGTACCGTCGAACCAAAAATATAATTATGAACTTATATCAGAAGTTAGGTCATGTTATTTTAATAATTTTTTAATTTTTTATGAAAAGATATATAAAAAAAAGTAAAAGAGATAATATGATAATTTATAATAACATTTTAATTTTTTAATTAAAATGTAAAGTTAATAAATGGGACAGTACCATAATAAAAATCAGAACTTATAATCTCCGTCACATAAATCGACGTATTAGTTTGGTGCCATTTGAATTGTACCACCAATTCCTGAACTTTTCTCAACACAATTGTCAAAACTTGCATTTAGGTATTAGCTAAATGAATGAATGGATTGAATTCTACATGACTCATCGTCCTAATAACCACGAACCGACACCCCCATAACAATATTACGGGACCATAATCTAGGTAACACACACGATTATGATTATTTAATTCAAATATAGTAAGATATCATTTGTCAATTGAGTAAAATAATTAAAAAGTCACCATGAGTTATTATATTATTCTTTTTTTCTTTTTCTTTTTTTTTGAAAGCCTATTGATAAAAGATCAAAAAGTCAACTAAAATTATCAATTATCAAATGAGAAAAATAACTTTCATTTTTATAAATTTATATTAGAGGAATTAATAAGTGTAAATTTATATGTTCTTTTTATAACTTTTATCATTAAATCTTAAATTATTTTATTTAAAGTTATAATTTATATAGTCTAATGATAAAAAATATAATAAGTGCAAGTCTATATATGTTCTTTTTATAACTTTTATCATTAAATATTAAATTATTTTATTTAAAGTTATAATTTGTATTGTCTAATGATAAAAAATAATAATAATAACAATAATAGATTTTGTTTTATTGATTTGATTCATATAAGATATTACAATGAATCGTAATGAATTATAATAATAATAATTAAGATTAAACATAATACATATATATATATATATATATAATCAATACAAAGAAGTTCTCAAAGTGAGAGAAAAAATCCTAATAAATACATAAGAAATAAGACACACTAGAGAATAATAACAATCACCATGTTTTATTTTAGAAAATTGAGTTCACTTTTTAAAAAATTAAAAAAAAATTCTTATTTTTTTATTTTTAGTACTTTTTTAAAAATATTTTAAGTATTTTTTTTTATTTTTTAAATACACTTAATCTAAATATACTTAAAAAATATAATATTTGTAAAAATTTTTAGTAATTTTTTAATATTTTAAGTAATTTTTTTATTTTTTAAATACACTTAATCTAAATCAAAAATGTTTCAGGCTCCCTTTTTCCCAACCCCCTTTGACCCCCTCTCTTTCTTATTGGTTATATTTTTTTTTTCTTTTTTCTTTTTTTCTTGCTCCTCCAATCACCACCCGCCACGTGTCTGTGGGGTTGTGGGGGTGCTGATTAGAGGGGTCTCTATCATGACTCAAAATAAATATGCTTAAAAATATAATATTTGTAAAAAAAAATTAAAATTCATTAGATACACACCCAAAAAAAAAAAAAAATACATTTTTGTATTTTGTTATATTCAACGAAATTTTTTTTTTTTTAAATTTTGTACACATATTTTACTTTTAAAATATACTTGTTTTTTTTAAGTTAACTTTATTTGTGAAAATACTCAGCTACATTCCTAATTATACAGTTGCTAATATTCTTCTGCATATCAAGGTGTTCAAAGCATTGAATCTGTCAATTAATCAAGTTTATATATAGCAACTATTAAAGGTATTATTCCTCTTAAAAAATAATCTAATCTTTTCATATGATACATTATGTCAATTATAGTTTCTTATTTCATCTATTTATATATGTGCTTTTAAAATTTTAGTTTCTAAAAATATAGGTAAATGACGTAATATGATTAAAAATGTCATATTGGGACAATTTTTTTTTTAAAATATCATATAATAATTTAAATTTTCAAAATTCAATTAGAGAATATCTTAATATGTTCAAAAATAATAATAATAATCATTTGTATTTTGAAAGATTATAGTATATAGACCATTTTTATTTTCAATTAAAAAGCAAGTACGAAAATGAAGAAAAATCATATAGAACATGAAATATGCAATCAAATATTGGATAGCGTTATCAATAATGTTACTTCTAAGTGCGGATATGACATGAGTGAAAAATGTTGTCACAAACCGCATAGAATGCATGTTTAAAAAAATCAAGTAAATAAAACTAATAAGAAAATATTATCATAAGGGAAAAATGAAAAAATACATTATGGAACAAAAATTTAGTAGGATCCAACTCCTAAGTAGTTTTTGGTTCAATAAAATACAATTGAAATAAAATGATCATTCTATTCTCAAGTTTAATTTACTATTACTATAATAACTTACTTTGCTTTGTTCGGAAATAGTAAATGTGTTTTTTGGATAATTTTATCACATAGCTGGCACACTATCCATGATTTATCAAAAGCAGAACACTGCAAAAACACTACAAAAACAAAAGAAAAAAAAAAACACATTAACTTTCAATTCAAATCAGAATACATAAAATCAAATAGAAAGCAATTTAAAAATTTTAGCAAGGCAAAAGCTCACCGAAATTTTTTTTTGTTGAGTGACAAATGGATTTGTAGCTTCCTCTCATGTTAACCACTTGAAGGGACTATGGGAAGACACATTAGGCACTTCCAAATAGAGTAAGCGAGAAACAACCACGTAATTGTTACAATAAAAGGTCAATAATAGCTCTGTTTAGGAAGTTTAATTGTGACGTAAATAGTTAATCTTGTAAGATTTTTTGAGTATATCATTAATAAAAAAAATTAAATTAATTGAGCATTCATAGTCACATGATCAGATGATATTGAGTTTTTTAAAATTAAATAACATCATTAATAAAAAAATGAAATTAATTGAGCATTCATAATCACATGATTAGATGATATTGATTTTTTTAAAATTAAATAATCAGTATAAATTTGATAATAGACTCTTTTTTTTCACATAATTAATACTCAATTATATAATTATCAATATCCAATTAATTGAACTTTTTAATGATTTTATTGATGAATTCTACCAGTTTTTTGATAATCACAATAAAAAACAACTTCTTCCATCACATCATGGATTGTGAGCTACAATATCTTTTTCTAGCACATATATGTATTTATTTAAACTTTTCTTCAAATAGTATGCAAGAAACGGTGCAATGGAGATTGTTTTAGTTCAAATGGCATTATAGCGATCCCGATTTTTCTCCATTACTTATAGTGTTCCGGACTCGAGTTCTATCGTTGTATGTTGTTATTTGTATCTCGTTTCCATCCTTTAATTCTTTGTATTTGAGTTTTGGGATGTGTTGGATGAGTTTGGAACAGGTTGGTTGTGAGTTAGAACAAAAGGTTGCTACCCAGGTTTTGGCCTCTTCGCTCGAGCGAGGCTTTTTGCGCTCAAGCGAGCCTTGGGTGTTTGCATCTTCGCTCGAGCGAGAATTTGTGCGCTCGAGCGAGTATTGTGGGTCTTCAAGTTTCTTTTTCAGACGCAGCTTCCGCTCAAGCGAGCTTTCTTGCGCTCGAGCGAGCCGTGTGTCTTGTGTCTCTTCGCTCGAGTGAGAAGTATTGCGCTCGAGCGTGCGTCTGCATCTCTTTTAGACCTGAATGTTGGTATTCTTTGCTCGAGCGAGCTTTCTTGCGCTCACGCGAGCAAGCTCTATATTTTGTGTTTCTTCGCTCGAGCGAGAACTCTTGCGCTCGAGCGTGCCTCTGCGTTGCAGACCTGAAGCTTTGCATTGTTTGCTCGAGTGACGCTTCTTGCGCTCGAGCGAGGTTCTTTTGTGTCTGGTCGCTCGAGCGACCACTCCTTTGCTCGAGCGAGCCCTGTATATATCAGTTCACAGCAGCGAGTTTACACTTCACCTTTTCATCCCCTTTTTCACTCTAAACCCTAAAATCGACAGCCTCTCTCTCTACACACCCTCTCTCTCTACGAATACTACATGTTCTAGGAGTTTTCTACCCTAATCCCTTTGTAAGAAAGTTAGATCTTGGCTTGGGCTTCCCTTTGATTCGAAAATTTGTGGATTTGAAGCATCTTGGGTTTCACTCTTCTTCTCCTTTGAGCTTCTCCATTTGAGGTAGGGATAAACTACTCAGCTTATGAGCTTCGACATAAATTTTAGTCATTTTGATTAAATGGTGAAACTATGGAAATTTGGAAAGCTACGGTTTTAAATTTGAAATGTATAAAAGAGGGGTTTTCAATTGTTGAGCTCCATGTGTATGTGAGACCTTGGAAAATGGGGTTATTAGTGTAAAATTGATGAAATTGAGTCTTAGGGTTGAAGTTTGAGAAAAGAGGGAAAATGCCCTAATTGAGTTAAAATAATTAATTTGTATAATTAATTTGGTAAATTGTTAGAATATGAAATTGGGTTGAAAACCTTGAAATTGGGGGAAATTGTGATTGAATGGTGTAGTTGGGTTGACGAACCACTCACCGATGGAAAATGTAATAAATTATCTGTTTGATAGATTTATTTATCTGTTTAGAAATAACTGTTTTGGGCTATCGGTGGAGAATAGTCTTGATTGTTGTAGACACTGCATGATGATTAGAGAAATTGAAACTAATAAATTGGTTTATGTCATTGAATGTGACGGTGGGATTAACACATTGAATATGTGAATTGTTAGGTCATTGTATATGACTATGTGTTTAAATATATTGTATATGTATATTGCTTGAGAGGAGATAAGGGATGTACTCTATTGTTTGGGAGAAGATAGGGGATGGATTCCATGGATAATTAAGTTGGCCAGAGTGTCCAGGGTGCAAGTCCCGAAATCTTTTATATATTTGGGTGCCGGTTCCCTCAGACGTAGTTCCGTAAAATGGCATGTAAATAGAAGTGTTGAACAATGTTTGCTATTGAAGTATTGATATATGAGTTGTAGTCTCATTTTGTTTAAACGGTTTGGATAACATTGGACTATGTCAATGAATTGATTTGGATACATAATGAAATGAGAATTGTATGTAGTGTAACGTTGATTTGTTACAAAGATGATGTATATGGTTTATTAAGTGTTAAACATTTGTCAGATGCTATTGTTTTAGTTAATTCTCATATTCTGTTTAGCATATCTCTACTGGGCTTTGGCTCATCTTTCTTGGGACACCATTTTCAGGTACATGTGATATGCCGCCTTCAAGGACGTAGCTTGGGAGGTTTAGAGGCTGAAGGCTTATTTTTGTCGTTACCTTTTTGTGTTACATGTAATTCAAGCCAAGGGCTTAATATGTAAAAAAGTTAGGACTCTTCTTTTTGTTGTAACCAAGTAGTTATTTGGAAAGGTTTACGCCTGTAGGGCATCTATCTTGTCGTTTACATATAACATCTTTTATAACGAACACTCTGACGAATGTATATATAATGTTTCTTTCATCGTTTATCGATCTTATGAATCATTGTTCTAAGTCTTATTTTGAGGGCGTTACAACTTGGTATTAGAGCGTACCGGATTTGAATACTTTAGGTACGTGAGAAGTGGTTAGTACCACAATGGATTTGTCTCACTTGTTAGAAACTTAAGTGTAATGTTATGTCATTATGTGATAACATGTTTATTTGACTAAATGGGCATGAGATTTAGTTTCTACGATGTTGATCGAGTCTTTGGGTTTCTGGGAGCCCTGTTGGAAAGGTACTTGATCACTGTCGTTTCTAGCTAGAACTCTAGCAACGCCACGGGACGGTCATTATCTAGAAATGAAATTCGTAAGTGCTTATGTGATTATGTGCTTTTGTGGAGTGAATTACGGTTGTCCATCGTATTATGACGCGAGTGAAATAACTTCAGCACATTTGTGAATGTGCTAATGTCTTTGTGACCTTTATGAAGATGTCAGAACGAGGACGTGGTGGTAGGTGTGGTAGGCCTAAGAGGCAGGAAGTGCTTATACCGGATGAGATTTCGGCACAAGAGGAGGGAGTTGGTCAAGCTAACGTGGCTGAGCCAGTAGGTCAGCAGGCCATGGGTGCCTTAGCTCGTGAAATGGCCGGAGCATTGAGGGAGTCTATGGACATTCTCTGAGCTGAGAATCAAGTCCAGGCCTGAGTAGCTGAGGCAGGGCCGTGTTTTTTCTGAAGAGAGAGTTTTTTCGATCAAATTCGGATGAGTTTTTGGGGGATCCTAAAGAGCCACCGAAGGCTGATGAGTGGCTAAAGCAGATGACGAAGACGTTTGAGATGCTTGGCATCGAAGACGGGGGTTTGCAAGTGACCTTGGCGTCCTCCCAGCTGAAGGGAGAAGCAGGTCAGTGGTGGAAGTTTGTCCGAGGGTGAATTGGAGGGACTTGGGAGGCCTTTGTTGATGTCTTTCAGGAAAAGTTCTTGCCTCCCACTGTTAGGAAGAAGTTGAAAGACTAGTTTTGTCAGTTCAAGCAACTGAACACGCCTATGGCGGAGTTTGAAGCCACTTTTACCAGCTTATCGAGGTTTGCACCAGAGTTAGTGGTGACTGAGGAGCATCGGTGTCTGGAGTTTGAGAAGAAGTTGAGGACCGGACTCATGTTTCGAGTGGCCGGGTCCATGATTAGGGAGTATGTCTAGTGGAGGCTGCTGCCCATCTTAAGACTATTATGCATGTTGAGGAAGAGAGGATGAGGGGTTCTAGGAGGAGTCAGGATGGCCAGGGGAACGACAAGAGACAGAGGGGTTCTAACCTTCAACAGTCCCACGGAGCACATTCTAGATCTACCTTTCCAGTACTGAGTTCGAGTTCTGGGAGAGGCGATCAAGGAGACATTACCTGTTTTAAATGTGGTCAACTGGGCCACAAGTCTCCAGCTTGCCCGCAGAGAGGAGGAGGGCAGCGAGCAGCATCATCTTCGGCCCATTCGCAGGGCCAGAGTCAGGACAGAGGCCAGCCGCTCGCTTGTTATCAGTGTGGGCAGGCAGGGCACCTGAAGAGGTTTTGCCCACAGCTAGGTGGCACGCCTGGTGCGTCTGGTTCGAGGCAGACACAGAGTCACCAGCCAGCATAGTCAGTTCAGGCCTCGAGGGCCAATTAGGGAGCCTCTTCAGCTTAGTCTGTGCAGCAGTCTTATGTTTTGAGAGGTGAGCAGGTGGATCAAAGGCCTACAAGGCGCGTGTATGCTATTACAGCGCCGAATTTTGTACCTGCTCCATCAGTAGTGAGAGGTATCTTCTTGTTTTGCAACTCAGTTGTTAATGTGTTAATTGATACGGGTACATCTCATTCATCCCATTCGTTTATATCTTCTGCATTTGTATCTGTTTTGGGATTGAAGTTGGCAGAGTTAGCATTTCCTATTTATGTTGCGTCACCTGTTGGGGGTGAGTTGATTTTGAAACAGGGGTGTCGGGGTTGTGATATAGAGGTCGTTGATCGTTGGCTTCCCTTTTCTTTTGTGTTGATGGATATGTTTGGATTTGATGTGATTTTGGGTATGGACTGGTTATTGTCATACCGGGCTATTGTAGATTGCTACCGTCAGAGGGTTATTGTATGTACCTTGAGCGGAGATTGTTTTCATTTCTTGGGGGATCGGGTTGGTAGAGTCTTACTACTGGTGTATGATCCGCGAGGGCGGAGTGAGCTTAGTTGTCTTCTCGCTAGCTTTATAAGTAGTGAGTGTGATGAGACTTGGATTGAGTTGCCAAGAGTGGTTTGTGAGTACTCAGATG